AGTTTAATTGAAATTTTCAATATAAAAAATGTAAAACTATTAAACAAAATTATTCATCAGTGACGGAACGAAAAAGTTATTCGTTTAAAGCGTGTATATATTTTAAAGACGTGGGATCGTAAGTGTCAAATTTCAAGGAAATATGAAGCTTGTGGGTCATAATGCGGAAGACAAGTGCTTCGTTTCGCTTCGCTCGTTGGCTTGGGACAGAATCAAATATAAGGATAGGTACATTTTAAAACAGAACATATCATGTTATGAAGATATATAGTTAGAAAAATCGTTTAGTCTGAACTAAAACAAATAATTATTTTTTTTAATTTATATGTATTGAAATATTATACTTAACTTTATTACCGTAAAGAGAATATTAAATATTATTTATCGTTTATGCAAATTTTAAAGGGACATACTAATAAAAAAAATAATGATTGCAGAATCCATTTAAAACCAGCCAGCATTAAAATGACATTGACGTTTCTTTTTTTTTTATGAGCATTTAAGTAGTTTTTTTTTAATCATTTCAAATTGTTGCAGTAAGTGTTAATCTTTCAAGGTATGACCATGCCTTTGAAAAATGAGACATCGTAACTCCAGTCGCCTTGATCTTAGATTAGGTACGCTACATTACCTGGGATGAGTGCTTTTAATCTGCGAACCATATCTAAAACGCTACAGGGAATTTAGTATAAAATATCATTTCCGACGTTAATGATTTTATAAATGAAAAAATTGACATAGTCGATGTTTAGTTTTCATTTTAAACTCGTACTAGTTATTTGTCATACTTGCTTGTTTTTCGGTGTTTCGTATCCTAATCAATGGAGTTAACTTTAAAGTTTACTTTTAGTTTAAACATTTTAAGAACCCGTTTTATTCATGCTGACAACATTTTCAGAAAGACCTCTTTGCAACCGTATTCTCATAGGAACTCATCTACTATTTAAAAAAATCTACAACTCTTATAAAACTAATATTTTTTTCTATGTATGAACATGTAATATGAAAATTTCCAAGGATATTTTGCTAAGAATATCGTCGTGGGGGTTGTATGGGCGAGTTTTTTCATCAGACGACATTCCTCATTTAGTCTGCTTATTGACATCCGCGTCAGTCATTGCGCTGCTCTTAATTCGCCAGTCGTTCACCTGTACAAGACCACCTATTGTTAAATAACACACACACACACACACACACACACACACACACACACACACACACACACACACACACACACACACACACGTTTCATCCAATTTATAAAGACAAGATTGCTTTTTATTGTCACATGTATTTAAAAAGAAGTAAATTGATCGTATAAATGACATTCTTGGCTACATTTAACTTTAAAGATGCTTTGTAAAAGACCTTTCTTGAAATAAAACCAAATAATTTATTTATTTATTTTATTTTGCACGCGATAACATCTACCAGCTTACCTTACGTATATAGAAGACAAAGTATGACGCTGTGAAAAAAATACAGAAATAATCAAAAATGATTAAAATCATATTTTTTCATTACTCCTTTGGCTAATTAAAAAAACGATAAACAATTTAAATAAAAATGTTTGAATTAGTCTTAATATCTTTAAATGTAATCAGTTTTTCAACAACAGCATTATAAAAAAATAACATTAATTAATTCTGTTGTCGTGTTACAACTATGACCGAGCAAAAAACTAAAAACTAAATAACTAAATATAGCAAAAAACTAACTATATATAAACTACAAGCATTTTATTCGATGAAGCGGGCAGTGTGAATGAACTCTTGACTTATCGCTTTCATCAATTCGTGGTTCCATGGTAATGTATTTAATAGTTTACTATTTCATTCGTCATGATAGGTCATATAAATGTCTGATTTCTATTCAGAACTAAATAATAGTACTCCCTAACGAAAATATGTACTTTTATTTAAGGTATAAAGAAACTTACCCAATGCTAAAAAAATAGTACTAGAAAAAATTATAACAATCGGTTTCTTTTCAGGATTTATTTAACATATATGAACTTTATTTTTTATACAAGAAAAGTTAAATTCAGACTATGAGCTATGAAGAATATAATTTTTTACCAATAATGCAATAATAACGATAAACGCGTTGTTATTACCAAAGCAATTAGGATGTCTTTTTTTTGCAAAAGAAGTTTTCTTCTAGCAATCAGATTGTGTATACCTTAATCTAAAGGAAGTACATTCCTCCTTTTGGTTTCTCATAAGGAATTCGATTTAAAATTCTTTACACGTTGATCGTTGCAAAAAGCGATAGTGCGAATGTTACCAGATTATTACATAAGAGTTACAAATAACTATCCCTACTAATATTATAAATGCGAAAGTAATTCTGTCTGTCTGTCTGTTACGCTTTCACGCCTAAACCACTGAACTGATTTGAATGAAATTTGGTACAGAGATAGAGTTGACCTTGAGAAAGAACATAGGATAGTTTTTATCCCAAACTTTTGAAAGGTTCTCTTGGAAACGCGATATAACAGAACTCCACGCGGGTGCCAAGCTGCGGGCGGAAAACTAGTTATCTATACATTGCTACGCGTTATATTACTTGGTTGGTGCCACCACCTACATAATAAATATATTTAGTACCTACTCAACTTATTCATCGATGAATTAATTTACCTAAAGGAAAAATAATTCAAGGCTAATGATTTATTGTGTGGCTTAGTAAAGTACGGTAGTTTTATCACAACGTATGAATTTAATGTTTTATTTATTTATATTTTGTTAAAAAGATTAATATGCAGAAACAAAAGAGAATATAGCAGGCCGAATATATGTATCTATTTATTGCTGTGTACAATTTCCTACTGACAAGAGACAGTGTAAAAGATTGTAAAATAAAGTACATATATACATTATACATAAAGATATAATAAAATATATACAGAAAGTAATAGACATTAAAATAGTATAAATTTTATCTTACACTATACGTGTGTATGTCACTGAATTTCTCCTAAATAGTTGGATCGTTTCGAAGCACATTCTTTATATGCATTTTTGTAAATCCCCAGATGGTTTAGATTCACAAAATTAGCCAGCAGATGGCGTCGCTGTATCTGAGTTATTTAAAATGAAGAGATTGTGTCGTGGGTTACTTTTGTTTTAGTTTCAACTTGATTATAGCTGTTACCCTAATGGCTTTGTCACCGGTAGGGGTTGGGTGACCGGATGGCACCCACCCGTTAAATTTAGGCCTGAAAGGCCCGGCAGGGTACGTCAATGTGGCTTATTATAGTAGTGTTTAAATGTGCTATGGATTTTCTACCTTAACGCAACTATCATGTTCACGAGGACAGAATCGCGGGAAAAATCTAGTATTTATATATTATCAATAAATATTATTATATACAAATAATATTACATTGAGATTTAAATATTATTTATTATGTTATAAACGGTAAATTTTCACTAATTTGATGGCACAATTCTTGAATAGAAGTCAGTTTTTATACCAAAAACAACGTCAATATTTAATAAATCACGTAATTACCTAAGTTACTTTATTCGTATTGCTTTTAGACACGCTTTCACGTGTTAGATATCAATCTGTGAATTACCTGAAAATTCAACATAAATGAAACCAAATATTCTAAATATTCGACAGTTTATAAGCTATATGGAAGAAGATAGCTTGTAACCATTATATAATGTTAACAGCTGTAGCTAATGTTTCCTGGTTATTGAAAACCGATGACTTTAACAAATGGCTTGCATGTGGGCAGTGGGGGTAAAAGCTTTCACATTTCACGAGAGCACTATAGTTTGTTTACATTATACTATACATATGATAAATGTGGGATTGTGAACATATTTTAGGCTTAAAAATAATTAATGTTAAGAAAGTAACGAATAAATAATTTATGAGATGTAAAATTAAAAAATACTTTAATATTTATAGGTATATCTTCGACTTCTGTTAGGATTTTATCTCTAGATAACAGTAAAACATAATGCTTAAACATTATACGACCAAAAAAATGCCAAAAATTTTCGAGATATAACTAAAAAGACTGAACATGTTTAAAAGCAAATATTTTTCTTAGAAGACCGCGACATCTGGAAAAATAAAAGCTACAACAGTACTGAGTACTGTAAACACGATCTAACAAAACAGCTTGACAAACATGAATGAATTTAATTATTGCTCATATTTATTTAAAAAAACTATATTTATTGAAGTCACGGCCGCATTCTTGGTACTGTATTCAGTAAACAAGTGATATATCCCGAGAAAAAGATGAAATTAGAATGATTAATCAGCTTATAGCCAAAAAATAGCATTATTTTCCTACAAAATTGTTTTGCAATGAATGATAAACGAGAGCATGTAGGTAGAGACGAAGGTCACTTACATACTACCTACATGTTGACTGTGCTATGACGTAATACACGTCACATACAAGCGAGGTTGCTGAATACCGGTATTTTTTGAACAACTTAAAATGTTATAAACAGTTATGTTAAAAAAAAAATTTAGCATGTGCCAAGAATATTATATTTTTTAAAATATACAATATATTACAAACGTAAAACAATTGGCAATTATTGCAAAAATATATTTGATATATATAGTCATAAATGAATAGCAAGACGAAAATAACTGAATGATCAAAGTTTGTTTTCACATGTATGTTTAACCATACATAGCGAAGTACAGATACAATGATTCATAAAATAATTTATACAATGGTGATTACAAACTCCATATAACTGATGACTCGGGAGATTTGGAATGAGCGAGAAGAACTTTACAGTGTGGGCTGAATGACGACGAACGAATACGACGCCGCTCCGATTTCCGAACGAAGGTGAGGCTATTTAAAACTGTGCGCAGTAACCCGGCGCCGAGTCGACATTTAATAATCAGTCCCGCCTTGTCTTTTGACGTGTACGCGTTGTGTTTACACTAACTCCCGCTGTGTTTGTTAATTTGTTTAGTTTCAACGTTTTAAAATTTAAATACACACGTGAAAAATGGCTGACAGTGGTCTAAAGAGGAATATTCCGATCAAGCTTGGAGATTTTTCAGTCATAGATACCGAATTCTCGAGCATCAGGGAGAGATTTGATGCCGAAATGAGAAAAATGGAAGACGAAATGAGCAAATTCAGATCGGAACTCATGAATAGGGAAAGCAACAATTTCTTTAAAAGCTCCACAAGGTATTTATAATATTTTAATTAAAATAATAGCGTATTCTTCAAGAATTAAATGTATATATATTTTTTGATACGTGTATTCCATATTTGACGTAGCTGGTAAACTGCGGTAACTTTTAAGTACATATTTTTCATGGAGGGGGTATATATTGGTTGAATTTATTTTATTATTCTGAACGTATCTTTAACGTCCGGGCATGTTTACCTAAAAGGGAATCTTGAATTAATGAGCCTGGGATTTCGCAAGCGTACCACGCTCGACCTCGGTTCGGTTGTTACACGAAAGTGGTTATTCAAAAGGTATTATTCGGGATCATTCCGCGGAACGGCTACAGACATCTTGGACGGCTCCATTTAAAGCGTGCAACGATACGTAAGACGCGATGATGTCATAAATAGAAATAGCGCCGGCCACCAGCCCGAAGATTTGTACATAAAACGATTAAATGTTCAACTTTCATTTATCACTAGTGTGCCTGTTAATGAAATTCTTTGGGTTATCGTCTTACCAGTGACATTGTAAACCAAGAGATCGGGTTACAAAATGTAATAACATTCTATATAAAAGAAAAATGTATATGTATGTAAATTACAATGCATGTATACGGTAAATAGTTGCGAAAACCGGTTTACGGTGTTCTTATCAGCGAATATAAAATGTACAATGGTTTGGCTGGAAAAAAAAATGTATTGTACGTACCGCATGAAACCATACATGACCCATTTGTATGGAATTAGTTCAAACTTGTGACGCAATTTATCGATGAAATACTTGGCTGGTGTTGTTGAATGAATAATGTTAAGGACAATATTAGGACGTCTGTATGTATCATTATATGTACATTTGTATTACTAAGTAATTTTCGTAAATTACCTCTAAAATATTGCGTGACAGATAACCTGCCCGCCCATACTAAAAGCCGTGACGTGGGTGAAATGGTATTATTTATTCATAAATCATTGATTTATAACTATAATATATTCCTAACCAAGATAATATGAATGTACACTTAAATCGAAACTTACAAGTATATCAAATACTAATGAATAAGATATAATATTTATATAATATGTAAAATAAATAATATGGCTTGATAATGCGATTTATATATACATATTTATGCTTGATTAAGTTTAAAACTCGCATTAATTATCAGCTTATATTTTTATAAACCCTTAAATAATATAATTATTACCTCTCGAAACGAGCAAATGAATTGTTTTTTCAAAAAAACTAACAGTAATTTGCTTTTTGCATGTCTTACAATTTCGAATCTGTTTCCTCCGGAGGAGTAACCAAGTCTTCAGAGAGGTAAAAATATGTACACGATATATTTTGTATACAAATAACATATCACAATTCACAAAAGCACTCCAAATTCCAATACAATTTGCATTGTATATCTGTCACTAAGAAGTATAAACACAGCAAGCACAGATAATTTACATATATATATGAAAAACATAATCTATGTAATATTTAATAATGTAAAATAACATTAAATATATTATTTCTATGTAATTTACAATGACATTGTAACTTTAACCTTGTGAATATTATGTAATGTCTGTGTAAAGTAAAATACGTCAATTGTGTCAAATTCTGTGATATATTGGGATTACATTGATGATGTCATTGTTGACAGAACCTTGACTGCATTCGCAGATGACATCAGCGACAAGTGATAAATTAATTATGAACATAGGAAAAATCACACAAAACTAACTATATGCACTATTGTCAATATAATGATGGAAACTAACAAGACTCCATTTACGAGTGAACATTCCTTTTAAATTTATACAATTGCAGTATATGAAAATGAATTCATGAGAAAAATGCGGGCGCTTTTAATTTATTCGCCGTAAAAAAACACGATCAAAATCTAAAATTAAATGGTTTCTTAGTATGGGGTTTGTGGAATGTATTCGCATGTCGGCATAACATTCAAATCGCTTGCATGATTTGAAATGCAATTATAAAACCGAGCTCCACACAACAAACAACTTAAATTGATACAATTAGCAAGTTTTTGAATTAATTTTAGAATTTCGTAGACAACACTAATTTCACCTACACATTCTTCACAAACCGTATCGTGTATTCAATTAAACATAGATCGGCAATTTTCACACAATTAATAAACGTTTATTAGTAATAGTTGATTACGAGGACTAATAAGTACAAATAATATGGAGGTATTGATAATAATTTAATGTCAACAGCACGACCACATCATCACAACACAGTGACAGCAGACAGCTCGCCGAGCCAAGCCATTGGGACAGCTTAAATTCTCCTCTCATTCAAGACGAAGGTGACGGCAAATCTCTCAAGCTAAGATTCGATGTCAGTCAATACACGCCCGAGGAAATCGTGGTCAAGACCGTTGATAATAAATTACTGGTAAGTTTCTAACAAATAATTGTTTCAATTCAATACTATAGGTATTATTACATTTTAATCATGTTCTATTTTTAATCAGAATTATCTCGAACGCCCGGCATCACGCCAGATACAAATCGAATATTTAATATGTAATCAATTGCAATGATTGTAATTCACGTTTATTTTATAAATAATTATTTTTAATTCATTTTTCAGGTTCACGCCAAGCACGAAGAGAAGTCTGAGACTAAGTCTGTTTACAGAGAGTACAATAGGGAATTCTTGCTGCCGAAAGGCACGAATCCCGAAGCAATTAAGTCATCTCTATCACGCGATGGTGTTCTTACAGTGGAAGCACCGCTGCCTCAGCTCGCCATCACCGACAGAAACATCCCCATACAGAAGCACTGAAGCCATTCTAGCGAACTAAATTAACAGCAGCTATTCCATATTAATAATTTATTATAATTTATAAATTTTAACTAAGTATCAGTTATTCGGTAACTTATTTTCGAATCTTATATGAATTGAATCTCGTTTTATCAAACTGTATGTAATTGGTTGTATTTAAGTTTATTCCAAATTTAAAAACTATGTGGAAGTTTTCGAATCTCCTACGTATTCGTGTCGCTTTATTACGCTTTCACTGTGATTTTGAGAAGTTTTTTTGAATCACTTTTGATATTCTAGCGGTCTGCTGATATTGCACTATATATTAATAAACACTTGGTATAGCGAACTTTCCTACAATCAGCCGGAGCTTATATTTTGGTGACAATAGTGCAATTGGTATTTGGTACATCACGTACTTATAATATTGGTAGTCTTTTTTTAAAGACATCTCTGTCTTTTTATCTTAAAAGGCAACTTCGTCCTAACTTTATATTTAGTAAACAATAACTATAGCAGTATATTCAATACACCATGTTAACGGCTTTTTAATGATACACATTTATATTTTAGTACAAAAAAAATGTTGTAGATGTCAATAAATTGCAATAGAAAAATTATATGGTAGTTTTTTTCGTTGTGTAAACATATTCTGGCTAAATAATATAAGTATTTTTTTCCAATAATAAATTCTTGAATCTTTGTTTGAACGTAAAATATCAAGTTTTTATTTATATAAAAAAATTATTTTAAAATAGTAGGTATTCTCATTGACAGGCACTTCAAGGACAAAAGATATGAAAACTAAACGTTTTTATTTAAAAAATTCTCACAATGTTCCATGTTGCAAAATAGTTTTATTCTTACCAAAAGCATTGTTCATTGTTCTGGAAAACAATGAATTTCTTAGTGGAAAAGATTTATGAAAATATTTAAACGAATGCAACATGTTTGACACTAAAAACGCCTATTGAAAAAAGTATAAAAACTTATCAGTTGGCAACAGAATAACTCACTTAAATATAGTTCTTTTAGTAATCCTTTGAATTAGCTAATTATTTACTTGAGAATAATAATAAAGCATCATAAAGATTAGACTGTGAACTTAATACTATAATTACTTCAAAGATATTTAAAATTTATGACGCAATCTGTCATTGTCACCAATATTTCATTTCATTTGCCGCAGTGATTATGAATAATGTGCGTGAACACACGATCGTCTGCGGTACATTTACGCGCGTTCTATTTCAGTTGCCAAATTGGTTTTAACAAATATATGACAAGGACAACTTACTGTTTAGCAAAACTAACTAATAATTTTCACTGTACCGCTTACATCACCGCGATGCATCTTGTTGGTATGCCCCAAATACAACGCCGTTTATGAGGCATAGATAAAAATAGAAATTAATGGTTGCCTGAATTTATATTAAGTTTATACATTAATGTGTTCGGTTACTGTAAATGTTTGCTTTTATTTCTTTCAAGATTTATAAGACGAGTCGTAAAATACAGCTATGTAAACAAAATATTGCAGATATATCATTAAATAAGGTTGGGTGTTTAAATAGAATTTGTTTAAACGAAGTTGTCTCTGGTTAGTGTATAAAGGAATGTAAACTTTTTCATAACAGGAAAAAATTACTTTCAGAAGTTATTGCCAGATTAACTAAATATAGAATAAAAAATTAGGTCATAATCATCACAGCCCATAATGATAAACTACTGGTCTCTTGTTTCCTCTTTATAGATAGTTAAGGCTTACTGCTTCTAGTAGACCAGAGGTATTGGCAGAGGGTTTCATCAAGTGTTCGTCTTGTTTTACAAATCTTATGTTCGTAGTACCAATTAGTCGCCTTTTAAGACAGTCCAGGCTAGTGGAGTGATACTTTCTATTCTTACGCCGTCACCACACGATATAAAGTACTAGCTTTCCGCTCGCAGCTTCGCCCGCGTGAAGTTTGGGTCTGTCTGGGATAAAAACTATCCTATGTTTTTTCTCATGGTCAACTCCATCTCCGTACCAAATTTAATTAAAATCAGTTCAGTGGTTTAGGCGTGAAAACGTAACAGACAGACAGACGGAGTTACTTTCGCATTTATAATATTAGTAGGGATTGATATAAAATAAATTTTAAATTGAGTACTTATGTAATATTTTAATATTATATATCAATTAACCTAGTATTTAATTTTACCTGCGAATTTAAAGTTCTAAGATTCTATAACTCCCGCTTTTGAAATTTATACGATATAAAAAATATGAATGTTATATCATCACTACAGCTATTTAAATACAATATTTTACTTTCCTGTAATATAATTTAATTCAAATTCTTTCTATATTTGGATATATCAAACATCTTCCTAGAATATTTATTATTGTCTATTTATACAATTTAAATATGTAAACAGGAAAAATATAGCTTTTGTACTGTTACTGATATAATTTAGAATATAATGAAGTGAGATATGCCACCATACGCTATAGAATCTCGATTTATGGCAATATTGAGGATATTAATGAACAGGGGTTAAATAAAACGATTTATAATGTCAGAAAATTTATTTGACGATAATCTTAGTAACTAGGCTTCTAGCGTTGTACACAAGCAAGCCTATACAGCTAAGCACTACTAGTTCAGTTATTAATTCTACGGCTACATCTTTGGTTGTTTTCTCCGTAATGAGATCGACGGGTCTTAAGCTATCTTTACTTATCTGCAAACAATAGAATAGCGTGGGTTATGTAACGCAAGCTTTATCGATTGAAGAATATATATGTCGGGGATAGTGCAAATCCGCGTAACTACCATAGGATAATTTTTTCACAAGTGGTGTTTAATTTTTTCCTAATTGTGAATAAAATACCTTAAAAGTCGTTAATATAGAAAATATTTCAGCTTAAACTTTCTCATGATAATCTGCTTTCATTGTAGATATGCGGAATTATCCAATGGTAGTAACGCGGATTTGCACTTTCCCCGACGATATACATAGATATCTTGAATTTGATTTTTTTCATTTATTAGCGTGTTATAGCTTGAAGTATTGAAGCGTTGTTTTTGCAATGTAATGCTTTTGATAGCAGACTTGAACTTATTGTGCTAGAGCGATTTTAATGTTGGATGTGATACATATTGTGGCTTTTGCGCAATAGATATAAAGGCAAATGTAGTAAATAAAATTTTGTCTAACAAGGACTTTTAGGCCTCTGCCTCGAATTTTAGGGGCAGCGGAGCGGCGGCGGGAGCGGCAGGATCTTACGCGTATAATCAAATGGACCGACCCTCGAATACACCGCTGCCTCCTAGTTTGGAGAACAGGTATGCGTTTCCGTGCCGCCGCCGCTGCCGCTCCGCTGCCCGCAAAATTCGAGGCCGAGGCCTTAGACAACCCATCAATTATGTCAGAAGATTTCAAGCTTTTTGTTTGATGTGACGTCATACTTTTTCAATTCTATGCCTAGGCTTGTGATGGCACTTTTTGAAGGTCTCGTTAGCAATACTTATGACGCAAAACATAGAGCTTTACTACTCAGAAACTCACTTGCATCCCGCTTTAGATCTTGGAATGTTGCTAAGGTAGGAAGGCATTTGTTAGTAATGAATATAGATCGAGTTCACACTATCAAAGGTTTTTTTTTAGTCAAATATAAGCTTCGTGTTTAAAGCATTTAAAATGTTTATTTGTAACGTCACAACGTTCATCCCCTAATGTCACCTCGTGGTGATATTCTCCCCTCTTTAGGTTAAGATTTATTTTTCATGACCCATGTAGCATAATTTTTAATTTATAATCAATGCATATACAAACATTCTATTAGGTAGGCAGGCGGCCGGTCGTACAAACAATTAGCCAAAACTATTCACAACATGTAAGGCAAACCCTGGCTATAGCTGGGAAATTGCCAGATAGAAGAATATATAAGTAGACCACAAAAAAACTGCTCAGATTTGAATCTATTGGAGCTTATATGGAAAGATTTTGACACTGTTCCTCGCAAGAAAATCATGAAAAGATTTAACAATAAAGGTGGAATAATATGAAACAAGATAAAGTGACATATTAATTGCTCATATCCTGAGGCTTATGACAAAAATAATAAAATGCAAGGAAAGATTATAAGATGGACTGATTTCATAATATGAAAGCATCTGCTAAGATAAATTATTGATATTTCTTGATTTCATCTCTAGGTATATTAATAGGGAGTTTATTAATAACTAAATTTACTACTGTTTATTTTGTGTTTTAATTCATTTTTCTAAGTTGATAGCGGTTTTAGTAGGCTTTTGGCCAACAGCAATATAAATTTGTACACATATACATATCGTCGGGGATAGTGTAAATCCGCGTAACTAGCATTGGATAATTCCGCATATCTACATTGGAAGCAGATTATCAGAAGAATGTTTAAGCTGAAATATTTTCTAAACTAACGAATTTTAAGCAAATTTTTTCACAATTACTAATAAATTGAACACTAAATATTATGAAAGAAATTAGTTTAAACGTTAATAAATTCAGAATTTTTATTTTTTAAATCTTCTGTATAATTACTTCGAAAGAAGATATGCGGATTTACCTATTGTTATTTATGCGGATTTGATTTTCCCAAAGAGGGTTGATGTCAGGCAGGCGGCCGGTCGTAAAAACAATTAGCCAAAACTATTCACAACATGTAAGGCAGACCCTGGCTAAAGCTGGGAAGTTGCCAGGTAGAAGGAGTTACGCGGATTTGCACCATCCGCGACGATATGTCCTATGCCTTACCTTAATATGTATCTTTTTCATAGCATTCGCTTCCCTCCTAATACTGTTTATATTACAGATCATCTTGCCCGCTGCCTGCTGAAGTTTCATCATTACAGGTGAATCGGGTGCTTCAAACTTCAATCTGCTCTGTATTCTGTTAAAATCTCTCAAAACATATGTTAGAGTTGATTCCAATATGTACAGTTGTTCCAGATGAGAACCGAGTATGCTGAGACATTCAACGATACTGAAAAAATATTTGTTACTTGATTAATATACATTATTTAGTTTGTTAGAAAGATATTTAATACTATAAAACTCTTTTTAGTAATGCTCATTAGAGCTTTTTCTTTGATACCCATATTGTAAAATAACGTTTACTATTATTTGGTCAGCCATTTTGGTTTTAAGATGACGTCATACACCTAACTATACATTGACTAAATGTTAATAATAATCTTTGCACGTCTATAAGATAGTGAAATATTTTATTTCTGTTTCCTTCTCCCCATATTTTTTATGTCTTCAAAGTTAAATAAATAGGGTTACACTGAGATGATACATACTATATAAAGCGGGATGTCTAGTAACAATCTTTACACCATAGTCTACTTATATTAAAAGCATTCTTTAAATTTTCTATACTTTTTGCTATTATTATTTTAAAGGAAGAAAAAAATCAGTCATGTCTAGAGGTTTTATGACACGTCACAGAAGTTTCTATCACTTTAGTTAAATTTAAGTATTTAAATAAGGGGGCATTCATAAAATACGTGAGATATTTAAGGAAGGGAGGGGGTCGAGACAAATCTCATCTAATTTTACGTTGAAGGGGGGGGGGGGACTCTCGGCAAATATCACGTATTTTTTTTCCGAATGAAACGAAAAGAAAATACTATATTGGTCTATTTTATCCACATTGTATATATAAGATTTAATCTTAAGCGAAATTGTTACACGATGAAGATCATTACCTAATTCGTTAAAAAAATATATATTTATACTTCGACGTTATACATTTACTGACTGTCAAGCCACCATCCCCCATGAAAAAAAAACCTCACGTAATTTATGAACATCCCCAAACAAAGATCATACAAATATACAGGGTGACTGGTGAATTACTATCGATACTTGAGGACGTGATATTTGACGATCATATATGACAAAATAAAAATTAATATAACATAAATATTAATAAACTTCTAAGTAAAGTTAACCAAAAGTTATGTAACTAATTACGCAACGTGTGAACACCCTACAGATTAGGTATACACACACACACACACACACGCGTCCTGTGGCGTAGTGTTGTATCAGCACGCCGCCGCACGCGTCCACACTTGGAACACTTGGAACGTGTCCACACTTTATTTATTTATACGGAAATTTGGTTAAAAATTAAGTACCTATTTTTTTTACATAATTCGAATGAGAATCATGTACCGAGTATTCTCCTTAAATATTGATAGTAATTCACCAGTCACCCTGTATATAGCGTGATCTTGCATATTGAATAAAACTCTTCAATATAAATAATATACCTGTATGGGGCACCACGTCTTGTTTGTAGACCAGCCACGGAATTGACCTTCCAACTCCTCAAATGGAACCCACGGATACCTTGTTTAAGTCTTTGTCTCTCAAACGGTAGATCAACACCATATTTTATCATTTCCTTTTCCTCCATCAACAGAAAATCTCTTAAATTGATCTGTAGCTTATCAAATACACTTCTGAGTCGATCACAATTCATACCATAGAGAAGATTTGATATTTCGTGAGCAAATTTCGGCCTGGAATATAATTTGATTGGTTACTCAGTTAGCCTATATTGAAACATAGCACAAGTCAATAATTAAAATAGATATGATTGTCATAATTTAATAGTCTTTTTAAACATATTTTTCTTTAAATATGCACAAATAAGAAAAAATTAACAAATTACATAGACACATACACTCACTTACTGACTTACACAAACACACACACATATAAATAAATTTTGTATACAAAAATCATATAAAACACATCTTACTTGCTCTCATCCCTTAATCCTGGATAAAAATCATGCCACGAAGACAATTTACTCAGGAATCCTTTTTGTCTGTTGATTTCCTTTTCCTCGATCGTTTCCTCATCATCCTCACAGGTTTTCTCATATGCTGATATAACTGCATGAATGTGAAGGTAGTCATGGGAATATGCAATTTTTGCTGGCGTTCGATTTGCTATATCAACTATATTCAGCCTAGCTCCTTTCTTTAGAAGCAAGTCTAAAGCACTTGGTCGATTGTGATGGATAGCCCAAAATACTGCCTGAAATGAGAAAAAGAAGTCTAAGATATTACGATGAATAAATAGCAATTTTAATGATTACAATATTCATAATATTTCTAAGTGAATTTAGGTTTTATACATGATTTTATTCATCACTGCACAATGTAAATTAATTTATCAAATTATTTATATATAAATTTATTTAGAGTTCATTAATGTTTCCAATCATTCACACAGCAGTTTCAGATGACAGAAACTAATATAAAATTTATTAAAGAAGCTTGAATAGCTTTAAATTTTCTTCTATCAGCAATTAAATATCATATTTAAGTACTTTTTAAAAAGATATTCTTCATTTACATATTATGTCAATTCAAATTTGATCTTGATTGACAAACTCTGATTTGTATTTTTTCCAATTTGTATCAAAAATTATAAAGATTAATTATAAGCAATTTTTTTTATTTGTTTTGTTTTTTTAATATTTCTTAGTTAAATAATATACATAACTAACTCACCGTCCAACCCTGCCTATCTCTCATTTCGATATTAACATTTGTATCGACTAATAGTTCAACGATAGATTGTCTGCCGCTAATCACTGCCTTCATGAGAGGTGTAACGCCATATTTATCTCCAATATTCAACATGCAATTATTTTGTATGAGGTTCGATACAATATTATAAGCGGCTGCCTCATTAGAAGTGCTGTTCATACAAGCCATCATAACTGGTGTCATAGAATCTGTATAATCAAATAAATTGAAAAATTCAGGTTAGTAAATAATATTAATTTCATTGTCACATGCGGACATCACTGATTAATGCATTCCCAAAAGAGGGTTGATGTCAGGCAGGCGGGCAGTTGTAAAAACAATTAGCCAAAATTATTCACAACATGTAAGGCCCTGGCTAAAGCTGGGAAATTGCCAGGTAGAAGATGTGGAATAAAACTAAAAAATTTAATGAGTAACATAAGGTTATTTTTTTTATATTACAGTTTTTAAAACACCAGCCCAGTATTTTTTTAAGCATCTTTGTCAATCATATTTAGTAGCTTTCAGAAGTATTTATTTATTTATTTGAGGATCCCCAACAATCAATATATTAATAAAAAATAATTTAGAGGAGGCCTATGTGGAAAGACAAGCTGTTTCTAAGCTGAACGTCGATGAACACATTTAATTATAAGTATTATAAGATTAGATTAACAAATAAAGGACAATATTATAAAATATAGTTATTTAGTAGAAGTAGTTTTTGTTAGTTGAAACAGCAATGATGGCTAATTTTATTTTATTTATTAATAACAAATAATAGAAAAAAACAATTATTGTAATTAATCAGTTTAATTAATATATCTGTAGTTGTATAAAAATATTATAAGCCGATAGTGATGAATGTCATAGTAATATTTATATTAATTAAGACTTGGATATGTTGAAAAGACAAAGGTTGTTTTGAAAACAAATTTATTTACCTGCATGTATATTAGGGTCAGCTCCATTCTCTAATAAATACTGCACTACTTTTTCATTGGCAAGGAAACATGCATGTAACAGGGGTGTCCAACCGCTGTGAAGTTTTCCATTTACATTTCCTTTCAATTCTTGAAAAATAAAACAAAAAAAATATTAATATTAAGTACTTTTTTTTAATGTATGAAAATATCAGTTTTGTATTAAAATTTTTAAATTGTTATTTTATGATATTACTTTGGTAGACAGTTATAGAAGATAAATACATTTGAAATATAAATTATAAAGGTAAGTACTTAATATATTTTCATCCATACCTGAGTTTATTATTTTTGAAACTCCGTCAATGTCACCTCTAGTTATAGCTTTCTTTAACTCTTCTTCCATATTTTTCTTATTATTTTCTAAATATATTAGGTAATTCTTGTGTACAACCTGTGCATAATATGTAATTTAATCTTTTTTAAATTGCAAATATGTAATTATATGTTTTGTGTGCTCCATATATACATATAATATAAATAATATAATAATCATATTATTTTTTATATTTTATCCCATAAATGTTCCTAGATATTTAGAATATACTATATTAAATATTGAATTGGTTAAATAATTTGTAGTTACCATTTTATCATAGTATCCATCGCTGTCGGAATCATCATCAGAAAAACCTGCAGGTCTAAAATTTGCCATCTAACTTAAATTCTACAAGAAAATTTTAAGAAAATCCCCTGAAAACGGCTCTAGCAGTATTGATTTTAAAATGATGGACTTTCAACATTGCCATTGACGGATGGTTTTGGATGCGTTCAGTTTTTCGAGTAATCTTCTGTTTGTAAAGAGTTAAACACATCTTTCTATTTACAGTTAAAAAGGTTTTATTGCATTCATATGATTTATTTTTCATCTTTTGACAGATTATTTTGTTTATAAGAAAAATATTTTAATGTATGTACAGCCACGGGCAAAAGTATTATGCACCCTACAGTAAGACAAGTTTTAGGGTGTTTTAGCATAGCGAGTGTAAATAAAACTGCATTTATGATTACAATGGTTTATTTTAAGAAAATAATTAATATTTTTGTAGGTCCACCTTTTGACTTAATAACCCCAGCCACTCTTTTTGGCATTGACTCTACCAGCCTGAAACATTCTTCTCTTGATATATTTTTCCATTCCTGCTGTAACGCGGCCAATAGAGCTTGTTTATTGCTAATCGAGTGCCTGCGGATATTTTTCTTTAAAATGGACCAAATATCCTCAATCGGGTTGAGGTCTGGTGATTGTGGTGGCCAGTCCAAGAGATCAATATGATTTTCAGCAAACCACTTCATGGTATGCGCGGACTTGTGGCAAGTGGCGTTGTCTTGCTGAAATTTCAGGCCATCGGTGTTTGTATCACCGAAAATTTGCGTTATCGACGTTGCTAGTGCTGTTTCCAGAACTTCAGTGTATTTAACACTATTCATTCGTCCCTCACACAACACCATTTCGCCCACTCCGTCGGCAGCCATGCAGCCCCAGATCATTATTGAGCCTCCATCATGCTTAACAGTGGGAACCACACATTCTGGGTTGTATTCTTCGCCAACCCTTCGCCTAACATAAGTCACACCGGGTGTTCCAAACACCTATGCCAAACGAAAAAAACACATTTATTTTCAAAGTTATTATTTTTCTTGCAGTACGTTATTTTAAAAACATTTATGTGTTTTAATATTGTACATAAAATAAATAACAATACCTCAAAGTTAGATTCGTCTGACCACAGTATGTTGGACCAATCTTCCACTGACCAATCTCTATGTTTGAGTGCCCACTCCAACCGATTTTTCTTATTGTGTTCTGACAGCCACGGCTTCTTCCTTGCTTTACATCCTTTTAATCCAGCTTTAAGAAGTCTTCTTCTCACAGTATAAACACTCACTGAGCTGCCTTTTGCCTCAGATAATGCTGCAGCGAGCTCTAAAGCAGTTTTTTTCCTGTTTTGTAGAGACTGTCTAATCAACAATCGATCTTCCCGTTCAGTAGTAACTTTTCTTCTGCCTGTTCTTGGTCTATTTTCATGGGTGCCAGTCTCTTTGAAGCGATTTATAGCATATTGAACTGCACATCGCGAGCACTTCACTTCTCGGGCTATTTTAACCTGAGACATGCCTTGTTCATGTAAAATCTTAATTCTTAGACGCTGTTCAGCACTAAGTTCAGATTTTTTCAGCATGATTAACACGTTAAATGTTAGTCTTTAGAATTGTGATAGGAATAGTTGCGTAGAAGACGTGTATGTTCACTGCAAGCACTGATAACACACTATAACCCGAAACGCAAAAAAAGCAAATTCGAAGAAATACCGCTTAGGAGCACACCTGGATGTCATAAATATTTTCTTTTATCTTAATTTGGTTAAAAATTGCCGCTAATACAATAGCTAAACCATAAAACACACATTTGACCGCAATATAATGAGATAGTGACTAACAATAGGGGTGCCTAATACTTTTGCACGCAGCTGTATAAAGTTGTTCCGGTAATCTTATGGTTTCTTTACATAATCTAAAGTAAATTAAACACCATGGATTGGATGGAGAATGACAAAAAAATAAATCAGCCCTATTATTTCCGTTTCAAAATGTATTATTAAGTTTATTAGGGACTAAAAAATAAGTTTCTTTAGTAAGACTGATCAATTTAAATATTTACGTCCAAGAATTCTTTTTTCTGGGGTTCATTTTGAACATGCATTTGAATACTTTATTGTTCAATTGATTTCAAAATATTTATTCCGTTAAGACAAGGCGTGAAATTTTTATTAAAGATTAATAAATGAAAAGCGGGACCATTGTTATGCTCTCACAGTACCTCACGAATTTATATGTAGTTTCACTACTCTTATGGTTAATGTGTAGTATCAGGGCCAGTTTTGTAAAATTATAGCAAAAAAGCGCACGGGTTTGTATTTTGACAAGTTTTTCCTAGAAGCTTGAGTTGATAAGCAAGAGAACTGCATATTTTAATATGAGATTTCATCTGCGACATAAAAAATTAAGAATAAAACTCCTTAAAAGAATCTAATCTGCTTTCTGGTCTAGGGTGAAAGTATTCCGTCATCACGGTCTTTGATATAGTAATAATCATATTTAGCATGCACAGTTCAACATCTTTTCGGATCTCTTGTAGAACTTGTCATAAAACATCTGTCTATTCTTAAAGCACTCACGAGAGGTATACTTTAAGGCAACCCGTTTGAAAATTGATTACGAATCCATCTCGAAAGTTTCAGAAATGAGTGAAGGTATCCTTAATTTTATCTAATTTGTAGCTTCAGCATTTGAGAAGTACGGTTACTGGTACAAGTTGCTATGATTATTTGAGGTACTACGTACAAAAAATACTTAAACGGCTTCAGTGTGGAGAATCATTAAACAAAGCTTTAATTCTCGTTGGTGACATTTGAGAAGAGAGGTATATACGTGGAAGATCATTTGCGGGAAGAAAAAGAAAGGATTCTATCTAAGGTTTAAGTTGGGGGCCTAATTCAAGTCTCTTAAAGGTGGCGTCGCGTATAACCAGAACTATGTACTTGAAAGGGTTGGCTCACAGGACCTAGAAAAGATAGGTTTCTACTATTTCATTACTATAATATCTAAACTTGTTCTTTACAGCAGTTCCTAAAAAGGAAACATAATTTTTGCTTAAAACATTACTAAAACTATAAGTATAATAATTACTTTACATTTTATCGTGTATAACAATATAACATGAACTGTTAAATTGTATATGCTCCTTAACAATTATTTTTGACACCTCGATAGATATACAAGTATATTTTCAATGAGTCATCCAGTTAATAAGAATACTGTAGAGTGGTTCTCAGCTTGGATGTTATACTTTGCGTTGGAAGGTAAGGATAATAGGCAACAGTTCCAATTAAGCGACGAGGGCGTTTGTTAACATTTAATTAACGTCAGGGAGCTATTGTGTCGCAGTCGGGTTCCGGGGCCACTGAGGTTCGTCTTGCGTCTTGATGAGCCCACAAGTCATAGCGTCTCGAATTACGACGAATGTTTGTATGAATGATTCGATGACTTCTAGCATGTGGTATACATCGCTCGTTTCATTTGTCACTTTCGGTTAGACCATATACTAAATCCGGCAATGTTTTGTATGCAAAAAAAACAAAGAAAAACTGTCTATAAAAGTAAAAAGCCATCCTTGTATTAGTAGGAGGTGATTCGCACTGAGAAGCGTTGCTTGCTAATGACGATGCCTTAGGGCAAGTACGGCGTTAACACGACTTCGCTCACTCATCGGAACCTGCCCAAGTATCCTTTTTGTTAAGATTTATTCTATTTGCCGCTGTGAACGTACATGACAACAAAGAAAATTTTAATTGGTTACACAGCGATGAAGATAAAAAACAATAAAATCTGCTTCATTGTTATGAAACAGAGGGGCTTACTATATATAGATTTATGAACAAGTAAAGTGTATCAGATTATTCTACACCGATGTATTATGATTATTGTGACTATTAATTTGAAATTCATTAAATGATTCAAGCAAGACATATAGTATCAAATTAGCCTATTTGTTTACCCGTTTTCACAGCGTTAATAGAATAAAAAACAAAATTATGTTTTATGCTATTAGTGGCTAGCGGTAAACCTATTATATAAAATACTTCGCAATTAGCGACATCTTCCGCAACAGAAACTATGTATATTGTAAATCTGTTAAAAGAAAATATGTTACCGAATGTTATTAGGATTTTTCTATGTGGCTTGTAAGGTATGAGATTTGATTTATAGCAGCGGTCGTAGTGAGGCGCGCTGACCGCTCGGCCGCTTCGGACGCGTTATTAAACTTTTCCCCATATTAAACATTCCGGAGACGAATACATTTTATTGTTGCCTCGGACCGACGTCACAGGCCCCTACAAAGCGAAACTCAAAGACGGCAATTGCGAAATAAATTGAAAGCAATTTGATATTGCGTTGTAAGTAGGTAATAGCCGACAGTCCTCAACCCTATACGGGTTAGATTTAGAAAACTTTTTGCGGATTGTTTGTGTCTGTCGTTTTGTTGGATATACTCTTGACATTATTTAAGGTAGAAATAATGAAAATATAGTATCGTATTATATAAATTCCGTTAAATTTTTCCATAACATAACATATTTAATGTCATTTATTATTTAATGTCAAGTCACTTTAATGTCACTTAAAAAGGCATAGCTTATCTAATTAAATTTGGAAATATATATTATCTATATTTTCTATCGAACATTCTAGCAAAAAAAAACATAAATGTAAGAAAAGATTATAGCAAAAACGTTATAAATTATTAAAAATATATAATCGCAGTAAGTCAAGGGATGTAAGAGAAATTGCTTGTGAATTATTGAGATGGACTCATTGGCTAAGTGATTGGATAGAGCCATTATCTCGTATCTGTTGATTGCTACATACATAAATACAGGTCTCACATAAAGCATCTATTAAAGTTTCATATTAAATTTAATTGCCTAAGTAACTTCCTTTATTTCTGGTTTCAATATTACAAATTCATGTATTTATTTTGTAGATAATTAATTATTATATGTTTCCTAATATCAGCACATAATAAGGTTAAGTCGAATTTTTGCTTAAAGATTTTTATTGTAGTTAATTTATTTAATGTTATGGAGATCCTAGAAGCTTTTCTTGATTGGAATCCCTATAATCTTTATTCTTTTCTGACAGATAGTTATGATTCTTTCCGTATAAAAGGTACATATAGTATTAATATGAGAACATAATATTGTACGACGCGGGAGAGTTACGAGTTAGCTTCAATTCAGTGGAAGAGATAATGCTTGCAGGCAATCACATAAGTGGATCAAATAGCTGTAGTCCATTTGGATAATGAAGTAGCGACTGTAGTCTTGCTGAATTCTTTTATTGTATAGCCGTTATATAAACGACCTGTGTTTAACTTGTGTGTCTGTGTGTGTAAATTATGTGGACCTGTCCGAATCATCGCACTTCGGCTGAGGCATTGTCTTCCTTGGATTATCGGAAATAGTTTAATGGTTATTAGTGATTTATTAATAATTCATAAATATAATTGACATCAAATATCCATTTTATAATATTATACTTTTTTAATTACCTTTTAATATACGTTATTGATATCAAAAACATTTTTTGATTATCAAAAGTTTATCATACTTTTAATATGTATGTTTTGATGTGTATGTAAGTGAGTAAACACGACCATTACGTAGGTTAAATTTGATTTTCATTTGGTCTCAAATGTTATATGGGTTGGTATCTGTTCAATCCATTATCTCGGCACTGTCCAGGAGCTGTTAGGCTCACAACTTGCCGACACACATTTTCCATTTCCCCCCTTGTCTTTAACGTCCCAGTTTCGCCTCTTCCATAATTCAATCCATACCGAATCCATTGTCCTTTGAACATTCTATCAATATTAAGTAAAACTTAAACTAAGGACTGCTTCCAATACATTGTTATTACATAGTTAGTAAACATTTTAATACGGAGAAATATTTGTTTTGTTTAATGATTAATATCAGTACAAGCAATACATGGTTGAATTTAAGTAAGTAATAGCTAATTTTTTTTCATAAACAGAAATTAATAAAGATTGTCCTATAAAAATTCTCTATCTAAATTGAAAGCGTTCGCTATACAAGCTATATCAACTTGTCTATGTGAATTTTAAACCCTAATATACCTTAAATTCAATATGACATTAATCTAAGTGTTATTCGGTAACAGTTTGTATGAGCTGGCGTTATAGCCTTCGTTCTATCCAGTCTATTTGGGCGAGATCCATTACTTTAGAGTGGCGGCAAGAAGCAATCTCATTGAATGACCGCCCCATACCACCTACCACCCAACATCCACGCCAATCGGAAAATATGCGTGTTAAATATGTATGCGCTGTTAGATTGCCGTAAGTGTATTAGATTTTGTTTGCTCTTTCATTCTGTCAAGTAGTTTGGTTTGTACATAAACAAATATACATTCGTTGGCCATCTCATCTAATATGAGTTTTATTTAATAAAAATATATAATACAATATCATTATCCAAAACCAAACGAATCGATGGACAAGCACAAACAAATCCTTTGTTATCTCAAAGTGAACGTATAAGTTTCTTGTTGCATGAGATTTAATAAGTTATATCTAAAAGTTGGAATGCACTTCGCACGAAGTGACTAGACTTTTCCATTAGAGGCAATTATCAGGCACAACAGAGGATTCCGTGCTTTGTCGGGCAAAACCCATCTTCGCGACGGAACCTGTTAGAGATAACGTCATAAAGTCGCCGAAGCAAAGAGCCGGACTAACATCTTTGCTGTTGCGATGCCCTCACCTCGGGATAATGGACCACCCCCCTCCCGCCCCGCGCACAGAACCGCCCCCCCTTAAACCCCCCAGCGAATTTACTTAATACTCAATACAAGCTTTTAAGTCTATCTCGGCTAGGGATTGCAACATCCATAAACTATATTACACACAATATTAATATTAAAATTTTAATCATCTTAAAGATTTATTGTTATTATTTATTCTAACTCATACTATGGCGTAATGAATTTAATTTTATACCGTTATATCTTATTTCGTGTATACTAAAATAATATTTTATTATAAAGTTTCCGGATATGATAATTATGTTGCAAATCTGATAACTAGTTTTCTAGAAACTTGTCTCGTTTAATTAATTTTATATATTTAAATCATGTAGTTAAATACATATTACTAAACGTTGCAATACAGACATTTTATAGTTGTAAGAGTTGTCTATGCTTTCGTTTTGTAGGATATATGTTATATGGGGTTTCATACTTATAAGCTTCAAATGAAAATATATCTTTTAAATTTGCATTACCATCTTTGATATAATAATTCGTTTATCAAAATATTTAACTTTGATCAATGTAAATACGAACAGTTTCATTGTTTTTCAAGACATTTTTTCGTTCATGATTCGAACCATTTTTTTTTTTTTGTTATCGCGGTGAAAGGTTTTATACCTACCCCTCCGTCTAGGGGAGACGGAGGCGGTTATGTGGGATTCACGGCCAGAAGGGCCCATGTTACCCACTAAAACACCAGCGGTCACTCTCCGTTGCCGCCTAGTGGATCGCCACGGGAAACGCCGAAGCATGCATCCGCGACGATCCGGCGGCGGGCCGCGAACGGCCACCTCCCCCCCCGAGGGCTCACTCCAAGTGACCAGGAGTGTCCCCCCGCCTGGCGGGCTTGCTTAATCGCGAGAGGGTTAACCCCTTACCCCTCCCACCCAAGCCCACGCGGCCAGTCTCCAATCACCCACCGACGAGCGCAAGCGCCCGACGGCAGACAGAGAGGAAACCGACCGACCACAAGCGAACTCAGGCCTCCGGAGAGACCCGAGTATCCCCTCCCCCCCAAGACAGCCACGGACGGCCTCCTGCCAGATCCGTGACCGTCTTACTCCCAGGGCTGTACCCCCAGCCCTCCCCACCGTGACTGATTGCACCGGAATACACCAGTGGGCGATGGGGTCGTCACGTCCCGACGCCGGACTGCGCCGACAGTGGCCGAGGCCACCCGCCAACACGTAGGGCCGAACTTGGCAGCGGCGGTGTACACCGCCGAGCCTCGTCCTACCCACCTCCATGGGCTGCACCCCCAGCCCGGGCCAAAACCCCACGAGGAGGTCAAGGCCCTTCCCCCCCCGTGACTAATTGCACCGGAATACACCGGTGGGCGATGGGGTCGTCACGTCCCGACGCCGGGTTCATGATTCGAACCAACAGTAATGGTACCCAATAGAAATCTACAAACCTGAATGATTGGCCAAAGATATATGTAGTTTACGCCTAGAGTGCGTGGTAATTTGCTATCCAGGAAGAGTATTATGGTATCTACGAGTAACTGATGTTAATTAATTTACTATAGCAATCGATAATCGGCTTATGACGTGTACCTGAATTAATGGTGTATCAAATTTTGGGGTTCCAACTCTCCATTGTACGCGACTGTGTGATAGAGGACTCATTTATATGATAACGATGCGATTATTATATTATAATATTATTAATTATTTTGGTAACAAAATTTTAATTTATATTATGTCAAAATTAATACGTATTTAGATCGATTTTTGTTGAATTAATCTCTCTTTATTATTTATACACACTTTATTTTACGAATTAATATAAAAAAAATGTCTTACATAATGGAATATTATTGGAAAAAATCAGGATTCGAACCTGTGATATCTGGGAATTCACGTCAAAGTCGTTTCAAGTATTGCGCTGTCGTGCCTTAAGCAAATTAATACGAATTTCAATTGTCATATTTCTTTAATATATTTTTAAACCAATTCGGTTATTTTTACTGTAATTAATAAACAGTTTAATATATATTTAATTTGTTTGTTTTATACTTCTTTATACAAAAATTATTTTCGGTTATTAATAGGATAATACAATAGTTGAAAATAATTAAACTTTATTGCAAATGTTTTGTAGTGATGTCAATCCGTACAAATCTTTTAATCTTATTTACATATATTATAGTATAGAGAAATGAAAATCAACAAATTTATTAATCACGTTTTATAAAAGGATTGCAGTATTTTTAGTTTTATTTACTTATATACTAAGAACTAATCAATAATATGCTTTATTTAGTTCAACATAAGGTTCAATTAAATACTATATTCTTTTATATACTAGATTCGTTTTATCCCATCGTTTTTCTAATGTCAATTTATAGTATTATTCCTAAACTTTTTATCCATGATTATAAAATAGCTTGGTACGTAAACTTCTGTAATTTAAGGTGAGAAATACCTTAATGAAACCTGTAGTTTAGAGTTTAATTAAACTTTATGCATGACATGTTATGATTTCATATTTTCCCGACTCAAAATTTAATTACTGTCACCCCACGTAGGAACTTCTTGTCAAGAAGCGATTGCATTCAGCCAACGGGAAATTAATACATTAGTTTAAAATTTAAAACTATAAAAATGAAATAGTTTTATATGTATATAGAAAATGTATTACTTTCTGTAATTAAAAATAATATCATGTTTTATATATCAAATTAAATAGTTCAAACATTTTTTTATCCTATCAGAGCCCACTGCTGAGCAAAGGCCTCTTTCTCTCATGGAGAAGTTTTGAGCATTAATCACTTTGGTGATTTCAAACTTATAATTGTGAAATTATAAGTTTAAACATCTGAATGGAAAAATATTTGTACATAATATAGTTGTTATAACTATAAATTATATTAATTAACATTAAATAATTCTCATCCTAGAAGCAGTCGTATGTTTAAATGATATATGAAATGTGTTAAATCTTTTCAAAAACATAAACTACTACAAACCTTTGATCATAGTTTTGTAAGTTATTCACTATTTTATCTACAGTATGTTCACTATGCCGAGTTGCAATAAAAACTAAACAATTATACCTTGCGAATTAATTAATAAATTAATTGAATTGAAGTATGTAATGTCAGATAAGGAATTTTTAGTACTCATTTTATTTCCAAGAATAAACATGATAAAAAACTTGCAAAATAAATAAATAGTTATGGATTTCTGATATTAAAATTCGTTATGTTTCATGTAATTTGATATTTGAATAAATAATGTGTTAATGGGTCGGTACCGAATCTTATGAACGTGTCAAAGCACTAATGGACCAGCGTTGATGGTCCGTCACTCTACATTTGACTAGGCGGCTTTCACGTAGCCACTTACGTAATTCCTGTGAGCTTACACTATAGTAATCTGTCAATTTGAAATACTACTGCTCCCTGTCCAAATGAAGCGTACATATTTTGCTAAGTGCTGGTGTGTAAAATACTATGACAGATTTATATATCTAACCGGTATTTACAAGTTTATTTCGGTTCCAGAATGTACAAAGATGTTTATCCTTAAATCTAAATTATTTCGAGTAAAAATAAAGAAAAGAAATATTGTCTACCCGCCGAGTGGAACTCAATGTTCGTTTGATGGGTCGTCCGTAAGTAAAAATGCGATATCTTTTTAGGCTTATGTCTAGTGTTGAGTGGGTTCACAAATGTCGCTAAAAGGCTGGACGTCATTGTTTATCCGGGCAACATTAGGCGGGTAACCGGACACGCGCGCTCTGAGTGCGCTACAAGTATCCGCTTTCAACTCATTACTGCTTGGACGTGGTGCGTGGGAAGCGAACCCCCGACCCACACCACGCCTTTGTTCTTCAAACCCTCATGTACTGTTCGATCTCCCGAATTCCGATACGGCCCGATCAAACCGCAAACAATGCGTGTTTTGTATTCAATATAAAGACGCTTATTGTTTTCACTCCTTTTTATTATACTTGTTACATTTCGTCTTCGGTTATTTTGGATAAATTAAAACATTTACTGCTTGAAAAATATATTATAGGGTATATATAAATAAGTGGAATTGTTCGTCTTAAATTTGTAAGCGGTAGAAGTGGGAGCGAGAGGTATAACAGGTAAATATCTCTATAACCTATAGAAAGTTGTGGGCCTGTCCTGTGAACTAACATCGATTCATTTTTAGAACGTACTTCGAATTTAGATTCAGTAGGTTTTTTAAAATTTGGTTCGGTATAGAGAACAATTTGGACGGTAGAGGTAAACGTTTTAAGAGTTTCAAATAGAGGCCCCTTAAGCTTACACCGGGGTTTCATTTACCAGGCACTGTTGAAGCTCCTCTCCCTGCAACGTGATGGACCCGGCACCCACACGATATATCCATTGGGTGCTGAGAAATTTCATCCCGTTTCTTGTCCAACAATATCAAAACAGTCTGTAAATGGAAAAACAAAACCATTTCCGTGGATACTTTTATAACCATAAAGCCGGACTACTATAATACAATCACAGAGATTAATTCGGGCATAGCAATAAAGACGATTGTGACCTCATATCAAAGTTAATCGAAAAATAAAGTGACACCAGTGGATATCTTAATCAAGTACCCATTTAGAGTAATAAAGGGACAGGCTGACGGTTATGGAACCCCAAAACTACGGCTGAGAATGTTTGTAGCATAGCAGTTTAGATTAATTAACTTTATCACCAGGGAGAATTGAAGTATATGTTAGCAAATGCCATTTTAATCGTGTTACTATCAAGGAATCTAATTGAATTTATAGAAACTTTACTTGTCAAGATAAAGGGTATGTATTTAAAATCAAATAATCAAAAATTTGGGACATGTACTTTATAACAATATGAAAATCCGAGGAAAAGTAAAAAAGAATTGTACCCAAAAGAAATCACGTCATGTCCGCGGCTTACCGACCTCAATAACATAACCGTTTGGAAAATTGCTCCTCGTGGTGCCCGGATTAGCTTTATGGAACAATTCATGTATGCTTGTTCTTTGGTAATTGATACCAATTTCCCCTTCATGTTTGGTTA